TAAAGAAGAGTCTCCAGTATAAAGACTGATGGTAAAGTTAAGATCTTTAATTTTTTAAATTCATGCTTACAATCTGCCTGATAGCTCAGTCCTGCCAATATCCTTACTGCCCTTCTTTGAAGTGCAAAGACGCTACTGGCGTGGGGGGAATGTCCCCAGATTATAATCGCGTAAGTGAGTACAGAGTGCACAAGTGCAAAGTATGCATTTCTCAACACTTCAATGGACACTGATTCATAAAGTCCCCGCAAGACAAAAATACTTCTCTTGATCTTATTACAGATGTAGTTAGCATGGTAATAAAATTTTAGCGCGCTATCTAACTGAATTCCTAGGAATTTTACTACCTCAGCATTTGTTGTGACATGAGATATGTTTTTTAATGTAAATATTATATTTTGCGTTTTGTTTATGTTCAGTGAAAGTTTGTTTGCTTTAAACCATTGCTCCACTCTTGACTGTGTCTCACGTGACTTACCCCTTACAGCGTCTAAGTCCCTATCCGATCTAGCAAAGTATTCCTCAAGGTTATGACGATTAGCTGTCATTTTGGTTATGCAGGTACACTGCATTGTGCCATACCAAACTAACCCAAACTTAACAACCCAACCCAACCGACCCCGCCCCATTGGGCCCCTCCCGCCCCATTGTCACAATCCAGCCTGCCCTTAGATATATTATACCTCTATTGCTCAATGGGGCGGGGTCGGTTGGGTTGGGTTGTTAAGTTTGGGTTGGTTTGGTATGGCACAATGTAGTGTACCTGCATAACCAAGATGACAGCTATTCGTCATAACCTTGAGGAATACTTTGCTACATTTAGCCTCTAGTGTATTATCGCGCTATAACGTGAATACAATGATTCGCGCCTTTAAGACATACGTCAATCTGTTTGTTTGGTTATTATTATTATTATTTTATATGTACATACAAAGAAAGATCACCTAGAAAGCTCATTGCAGAGTGCTTATTCGTATGCGGTGCGTTAACCACTTAGGGAACGGAGATGCAGGTCTCGCTTCCGTATCCTACACGATTAGCGCACACGGTTGCGCTAGCCCTATAGGAGACGGAAAAATGCGAGCCGGACCCAACTTTTGGATACGTTAAGTTACGTGTGATAAGTTTTCTACGAATGTAAACAGCTGCATTGGTTTCAATGTATTTCAACTTACGTCTATCACGTACGTTAAGTTAAGTTACGCGTATTAAGTGGATGTGAATGAGCTTTTACTGTTCTGTCTTTCAAATAAATCTAAAATCAAGTACTAGTAGGCGCCACAAATATTTTTTGGTTGAAGCATTTTAATAGAAAGTTAGTTTTAGATTACTGAGGGCCGGTTTATCAATGTCCGGTTAAAGTTACATTTAGTTATCTGGCAGATAATCTCCATGGATACAATTGTTCTCACAACGATCGATATGGAATTTAACTGTCAGATAGACTAACTGGAACTAAACCAGGGATTAATAAACCGGCCCTTAGTAGACTATGCGTTTACAAAAATAAATGTATCTCGGAAAAAACTCAAAAATTATTTAGTATTGTATTAAATACTGTCATACGTAACAACTAAGTTTTATTTTATAAATGTTCAGTTATATTTTTGTAATTTACTCAGGAGTACACACTGACACACACAAATAAACAGCCATACCCCTGGTGGGATTCGAACCCACGAACTCTCGGCTTGTAGTCCGCAGTGCTAACTACTACACCACCGAGGGCGGTTATTTATTATACCTATTGTGGATTTGTTTTTCTAATGGTAGTAAAAAGTAATATTTATTAAAATTTCATCAATTAGACCAAAAAAATAAACATTAACTAAGAATTACTTAAACAAATCATTTCTGCGCGTTAAATTGGCTCTATAGCCCACTGTGCGATAGATCGAAAACTACATATAAATATTTTTAGACAACTTCGTTTGTAATGAGATTGGTATAAAATTGACAAAGCGAAAGATGCAAAAAAATGCATGGTTGAAACAGTTGATCAGTTTGCTTATGCGCAATAGCGACTTAATAAATAAATCAATATTAGGTTAAACAGATAAAACAATCTCTGGGTTAAAAAAAATTCAAGACTTTTTCTGTGTATATTTAAACAATTGTTATTTGTTTTGCGCTAAAAGGCGTGAATAGCATGCAGTTAAACTTGTGTTAAGTTTTAAACTTTAAATTATAGTACTAAATAATGTTCCCAAAAATTTTTAATTTTTTTTTCTTGAATTATTCTTTTATACTGTAACGTTTTTACTGTTCTTGTGTGAATAAAAACAGGCACTGGTTAATTAACGAACTAAACTATTTATTTTATAACTTAATTACACTTAAAACACTAAGACTATAAACTATAAAACTAACTAAACACTTAACTACTAATTATTTATATATCACTACAAGAGTATATTTATTTGCACGTATATTTATTTATTTCGTCGCGAGTACCAAAACTTGACAACTGCTCCATGCTGCGCCGTTCCTTATATATTCAGTGCCTACATGCATTCCAGAATATTCCAGCGAGCTCCACACCGCTCTCGATTATTCGAGCGCTGACTCACCGGCGATGACTCATCGGCGATGAGTCATAATTCCGAGATCCAGAGCGGTACTCGCTTCAATACATAAATATTTGTAAAAAACTCGAGATCCTATATGTCTATGCTCGAGATTTGTTCAAATATTTTCACAAATAAACGTTTAAAATGTTTCATCGTTTTTTCATGTACAAACATTGCTAAAATTATACAAACGGTAACCTACCTAAGCTAACCTAGTTGCTTTTGAGTTTTTTTGGGCACGATTTGGTTGTTTATTGTTGGCTATCGCTATTGTACACGAGTCGTAAGCATATAATGTCAAGTTTTGACCTGATTTTGTCTTACTGGGAAATACACGTTTTAAATGGTAAATATTAACAATACAAATTGGGTAACTTTCAGATTTAGAGCAAAGTAAAATAATCAATTTAAACATTTTACAGAGTACCTAAAAGCTATTTAATATTTCCTATTGCATATTTAAAATTTTTTTCGGGACCCCATGTATATTATATTCTATAGTGAATTCATTTTACCAACTCACCTAAATAACTAACATTAGCGCGTGATGGCAACGTCTTCGGTGCGCTATTGGTCAATCACAGATTGACCAACACACATGCTGTGTGTTGTTTACGTGCTCTTTGCGTGTAGGGGTAATTTTGTAAAAGTACTATACGCTAAAGAAGCATCGGGTTTTCGCAACGCGCGCGCCATCTGGTGGAGTTCGATAGCATTGTATGAATTTAAGAATTGTCAACAATACATTTAAAGCATACGAACTGCGCATTATTTTTAACTAAATAAGTAGTATTTTCACAAAAGAGAGGAAGGCAAGAAATCTTACTCGACAAATTTTGTTTAATTGCACAGCTAAATCGCGCACGTTATTTGTGTTTTGGATTGCAAGTAAAAACTAAAAAACTTTGGTTTAGTAGGTACTCGATTTCGATTAATTATTGCTTATCAATTATTTATCATTTTAAGTTATGTTTTCCTCCTCTGATTATGCCGAAATGATGCTTTTAATTAGGGGAGTATGGGCGAAATGCTAAGGAGGTAGCACGACTGTGAAGTTGTTTTGCGCTGTAACGAAATTGAAGGTGCTCCTTAACGTATTAGAACAGCGTTGCAGTTGCACGCGAATTTCCAGTTCACAGTACAGAACTAGTTGTTTAATTTTTCGTCCTTATATTAATTATGACGTTCCTTTTTGAAACCTTAGTAAAGACAGTTGGCCAAAAGATTTTTAAAAGTTTTAAGACAACAATGTTCTATCGTCTCCTAGCAATTTTTAAAGCTCCTACGTTTAACCTAGTCGAGAGCTCTCGGTATTGGCTGTAGCTTTTTTGCTCTCATTCGATTACATTAATACTTAGACATTTTTTATTTTTAAATTTGACATCTCCATTGCTATCAGCACGCCTCCTATTTCTCTGTAGCGCGAGTTCTGGGACACCCTGTTACCGTTAGTGTGTGTATTTTATCTAAGTGATCATGGGGAATTATGGTGTTTTTAATTGTAAATAAAATTCAAGAACTAAATCATTGCGTTTTCATGTTTTGCCAAAGGATCCAATTCTGTAAGTATATTTGTTGGTGCAGAATTAACTAATGATAACTTTACCTAATATAATTTATATTTAAGTTTGGACATTTTTAAGAAATTAATAAAAAATAATTGCTGCACAAACAAATCTTAAAATCAAACATTTTTATATTTAAGACCTCTAAAAAACGCCTAAAACTGCATTTTAAACAACAAAATATACCTACGAATTCATGACCACATAATATTATATATAATACATAGTACTCTACTGTTGAGTGGAGCCTTTCTTAATCAACGCTTTTAATAATGCTAAATGCTGTTTGAATTTAGACAACTTATTTGTTTGAAGATTTTTACTGAATTGAAATGTTTACAATTTTACTTTTACATCATTACTAACATGTGTAATATAATATATAATAGGTACAATTTATATTTACAGGGACTATCTGCAATTTATTTCTACATTCGGATTAACACTGTTTTTTTGGGAAACCGGTAAAAACTCAACCCAGGATTTTCTCTAAAAAAACACCCAACACAACAAATCGTGCCACGGTATTTTTTAACATTTTCCGGCTTTATTCTTAAAAACACTCGTTTGTAACATACGCGTTTGACAGCTGATTATTAAAAGTTGTAGTTTTGTTACGATGATAACGGCAAAGTGGTGGCGCTACTAGCGATGCTTCTTTAGCGTATAGTTAAAGTTTAATTTTTCTGCGCCTAAAACGCTTAAATGGTGTTTTATAATTATTTGTGTGGATAATTTAGTTTTAAGGCGTGCTAATGTTTTTTATTGGAATAAACTTTTGTTACAAAAGTGTGACGCAACGCGTATATTTGGTACAGAGATATCTATATCTCTGATTCGCGGTAACTACTATAACTAAACTTACCTTTTCGTTATCCTTCAAATGGTGAACATACAAATTTTTGCTGGATTTTATAGGACTGATTTCGATAAAAAGCGATATTTGTTCGGGTCTTATCACCGGTAAAAAGTCGTTTTCACCGTTTTCGTTTTTGACCGGGAAATTACCGTTTTTCATGTCGTAGAGCATTCGCTGAGAACCGATGTAATCGTATGTTTCGCCGTTGAAAAGTAAGAAGAGGACGTTTTTATCTAAAAGAAAAAAAGAATGTATCTGCTGACCACTACTCTTTTTAGCATTTTTTTAAATTAAATTTTATATTTTGTGAAGAATTAATGAACCTAACAATTTATTCTTTGCATATTTTATATTGGAAAAACAATAGAAAAATAATAAAAATGATAATAAGTTTGTCCTTTCTTACTTTTGTCAATGACCCAATAAATGGAGTACCTACAAATTTAAAATTTTTCACCTATTCAAAAAGTAGCTTCCTCTTTTAACAAAAGCACCTGATACTTTTTAACAATAGACAACTACCGATTTGACAGAATCTTTTCTATTGGCAAAATGGTAAATTTTTAAAATTTCAGCTTTGAACAAAAAAACAGATAAAACTGGGTGAAGAGACAGATGGAGACAGTTTGTGTTATCCCACAAATCTTTTAGCATTATTTTCAATATGAAATTAAGATTATAATCTAACTTAAGCTAAACATTTCTTTAAATTAATGCCGTTATAGCTTAATTTTCAACGCATCAAAATCTTACCTTCTGTGGGATTTTCTGGCAAAATGGTTTTCAAATACTTGGAGACTCCCAATAAAGTCACTAAGCCTGTTATTGGTGATTGGGCGCCGGCAGTTTTTTCAAACATGGAAGTTGTGTCCATTTTGGCAGATATTACAATATACGAAGCGTTCTGTATGGGGTTTTTGTCTTTATCTGTCACTGGGTACAAGCTCGACCAAATGTTATAGTCGCCCAATGGGTCGCAGAATTTGACTGGTATTATGTTGGTTTGTTTATTTGAACGTCTAAAAATTAACAAAAAAAAATTAAATAGACTAAAAAAAATCTTTTTAAAACCATTTTATAACATTCTAAAATATAATATACCTTAAAATTATGTTTAACAAATTAAAATTTGCTTTTGACATAGTAAAATTTGCTTTTAAATTTGAACATGAAGTTAGCGAAGCACCCTTACCCGATCGAAAAGCGATAAGATAAATAATTTGTCTTTAATTAGTTGTGCTAAAATCAATTTTATCGTTTATTTTTGTTTTGTGTTAGCTTACGAAGTTAGCAAAGAATCCCCATTAAAAAGTACTTTTTTAGCTCAGCTCATAATTTTTCGTTAATTAGTTGTGCTAAAATCTATTTTTTGGTTTAATTTTTTTTTGTTATTTCGGTGCCTTGCTAAATTTATATGAATTTGCGAAACACCCCCCATAAAAATTAATATAGAGTGTCTATAAAACACGGCATATAAAATTGTAGGTATATTTCAAAATTTGTCGTTATTTTTTCGCTAATTTGTTGTGCGAACATTTATTGGTTCCACACTTGGCAATTGAACTAGGTCTTTCTGCATGTTCGTGCGTTATTACGTTTAAAGTTTATAAGTGGAATCCACTTAGTGGATTGAAAAAAAAATATTTATTGTAATAAAAATTCATAATTTTAGATAAAGTAACATTTCTCTTTTTTTTATATTTTATAGAGAGTCAAGCCACGTCAAGTGGGACCAGAAAATTTCATGAAATCACCGATTTTAAAAATAATCACATTATTGTGTAGTAGGCATGACGCATAGGTCACAGTAAAAAAATTGTTTCGAAATTCGATTTTTTAGTAATGTTATTAAAGTTAATAATTTTGTCAAAGTTTAGAGCATGGTAAAATTGAAAAAATAGAATCTCTGGGACCACTATGTATAATTGAATTAAATTTTACACACTATTGTAGCAATGTTTAGACTATTGAATGATCATTTAATTAAAGTAAATTTGATTAAATAAAAGAATTTTGCAAACATTTATTATAAACAATTGAAATTTTTTATGTGTTCTTCACGCTGAAAAAAAATTAATCTTGTGTCATAATATGCGGAAAACGTTCCCGTTTAATAAAATGTACTCAAAAATTTGTCCTTCATAGGTCATTCCGGAGATATTAATTTTTTCTCCCGCTGTGCGCTTGACCAGTACGCAGCGCGCTTCGCTGCTAGCCCGTTAGCACAGTTTTCCGTTAGAACCTTAGAACCGACGAGCTAGCAGCGAAGCGCGCCGCGTACTGATCGAACGCACAGCGGGACAAAAAATTTAATATCTCCGGAATAAGATATAAAGGACAAATTTTTGAGTACATTTTATTAAACGTGAATGTTTGCCGCATATTATGACACAAGATTAATTTTTTTCAGCGTGAAGAACACATAAAAAATTTCAATTGTTTATAATAAATGTATGCAAAATTCTTATATTTAAACAAATTTACCTTAATTAAATGACAATTCTATAGTCTAAACATTGCTACAATAGTGTGTAAAATTTAATTCAATTATACAGAGTGGTCCAAGAGATTCTATTTTTTTTAATTTTACCGTGCTCTTAAGTTTGACAAAATTATTAACTTAAATAACATTAACAAAAGACTGAATTTCAAAACATTTTCTTTACTGTGACATATGGGTCAGGCCTACAACACAATTATGTGATTTTCAAAATCGGTGATTTCGTAAAATTTTCTGGTCCCACTTGACGTGGCTTGACTCAGACAGAATAAATTAGAAAAAAAAATCACTTTTATAATAGAAACTTTTTAATTGCCATTTTCATGAAAAAAAAACGTTAGAAAACAAGAATTTAAGTTTATTACAGTTCAGCTGTGATATTGTGATAACAGCTATAAACTGGGCTTATAACACAGAAAAATAATTAAAATATTTCGTTTATTCGTGTTTTATTACACAATATCAAATACAATCTCTCTGAATATTTCCAGATATTTATTTACCATTTCTCTGCTAAAAGTCTTATTAAGACTTCCAAATCTTGCTAGTACTCTGAATAAGACTTAGTTTTTCAGACTTAATAAGTCTTACTCAGGGCCGGATTAAGGCAAAAGGGGACCTGGGGCTAAACAATTTAGGGGGCCCTTAAAGTTATTTATTAAAAGAAGGTTTTAGTATTAATAATAATATGTATTTATTTTAAATTTAGTAAAAAATTATAATTAAAATAGAAATATGCAAAAAATCAGTGTTTAGTAGTTCACACGCTCATGTTAATAAAGAGCGAACAAAAAACAACATAAATATAGATAACTCGAAAAGTCTCTATTCATTTATTTTACCAAAAAAATGTCTCCTTATATTATACAAAGCGCTCAAAAATAAACAAAACATGAAAATTGCTAAAGTTAATTTACACTAAAACAAGAATTATTCTTTTAAATTAAAAAAAACATATATGTGAAACATCTTGGCTGTAACAAATTATTGAAAACAAGAAATTAGATTTAATTATACTAAATTGTAATTTTATTTTTTTATTATTCCAAAAATTGGTACCTACTTCTATTTTTTATGAAAGTAAAAATAAATATTGTTTTTAAAAACGCGTCGGCAGAAACAAATTAGGGGGGATTTGGTAAAATATAGAAGTAAAATAAAACTATAAAGATCATAAATTTAATGGAATTTAAAAAAATGTTTTTTTTTATAAAAAATATATTGGTTATTTTCTTTATTTTATCTGGGTGGGTAATATACATAATGTGTATTATTATTCTAACTAGGGTTAGTTAACCAGTAATTGACCAGTTAAGGAAATTTTCGTGAATAAATTATTATATTTTCCTCTATTTTTAGTTTAAAATAAAATAAAAAATATCATTGAGTTTAATTTTGTTTTAAGATTTGATAACAGCTGACTAAAAAAGAAAAAGAGTTTCTATGCCGACGAAAAAAAATTTAATGCACGAAAATTCATGATTTTCCAGTGGTTGACCAATGCCTTGTAAGCAGATATCATTAATAAAACTGTGCCATCTAGAAGTTAAGGGGTAAAACACTATGCAAATAATATAAGTTTTTAATTAGGTAATACAGGGACCTTGCTTTTATCATTTAATCGGTACATTGGTCAATAACTGGTTGATGGTCAATTACTGGTTAACTGACCCTACACTGAGAAAAAAGTTTATTGCTCCCAAATAAAAAAAATATTTAAATATTGGGACAAGGGTACAGTTTATTTATCCTAAATATATTTTTATTCCCGACACATAAAGTTTTACTAAAGTATATTTATCGTTATTATTTCCACTATTTAGAGGTAATAAACAATATATTCACTACAAATAAAAGTATTAGGTAAACAGTTTATTTGTCCCATTTTTTTCTCAGTGTATTAAATACTAAGGTGTCGGGGACCCTTTAAATGGCGGGGCCTGGGGCTATAGCTCCCAAAATCCCCCCCTTAATCCAGGGCTGGTCTTACTCTGAAATTTTCCGAGAGAACCCTGTTGAAAAACCCGCATAAAAACTTATAAAAGTTCTATAATATTTAATAAGGATGTATGCGGTTTCTTAGTTTCTATAAGGTTTTGTCTAATTGCTCATAAGGGTTTTATCAGAATTCTATCAGTCTTTATAAGAAATAGTTTTATGAGCCGTGACTTATAAAACTTTTATTAGTTTTTATAAGACTTTACGAAGTACAAATTTCTATAAGAAATTCCAACTAAAATGTTGAAGTGTATTTATAAGATTTTATGTGCACAAGACTTTTATCAGTTTTAATGTGGTTCCTATTTGATAATTGTTTATGAGATTTTTTGTGACTCTATGAGGGATGTAAGTTTATTGGTTTGTATAAGGCCTTAACTATTAGATGTCTATAAGAGGCTATAAGTATATATGAGAAATGAATTTTATCGGATTTTATTGTTTTTTTATATCTAACTTTTATAAGTTTTTAGAAGACTTTATATGGTAGGTGCAAATGTCTATAAGGAATTCCAGCTAAAATGTTAAAGAATACTTATAAGACTTTATGTGCATATGGCATTTATCAGTTTCAGTATGGTCCCGATTTGATCATTGTTTATGAGTGTTTATGAGACTCTATAAGGGATGTAAGTTTATTGGTTTGTGTAAGGCCTTACCTATTATATGTCTATAAAAAGCTACAAATAGCTACAGCTGTTACGTGTAACAGTATTACACTTTAACACCTATAAAATATTGATAACATGATGCGTAAATACTGATAAAGTTTTATGAGTATTTACGCATTATGTTATAAATATTTTATTGGAGTTACAGTGTAACACTCTTACACGTAACATCTGTGTACGAGTATTTATCGGATAAGTGATTATAAAGTTTTATGATTATATAGTGTCTACTCTACTGACTAGAGTTAAAAAGTAATGTCTCTTAAAAACTCATAAATACTCATAAAATATGATATAACTTGATGCGTAAATACAGATAGTTTAAAAAGTTTTGACCAGAGTTGAAAAGTAATGTCTCTTAAAAACTCATAAATACTCATAAAATATTATATAACTTGATGCGTAAATACTGATAAAGTTTAATTAGTATTGACCAGAGTTAAAAAGTAGTAGTCCGGTCAAAATAGACATTTCAAATAACAAAAATTCCGACAGAGCTAAATTTTGGTAGAGACCTTGGGTACACCAGTAGAAATAAAGTGCCAAAAATCCCCATTGATCCCATGTGTGCTAAAAAAGTTACTCAAGGTCAAAGAAAAAAATTTCGGTTTTTTTTATTTTTCTCGAAAACGGTAAGTTTTATAAAAAATATATTCTGGACAAAAAATGTAGATCATAAAATTGTCTACAAAAATTTTCCTTATACTTTTTTTCCTAAGAATTACCATTCCTATGATATCGCCATTCTAAAAGTTGAAGGAGTTACATTCTACATGATATCCACAGTGTGCATATACGTGGTAGGTATTTGTGTGCATTGCGGCGGTTTATCTTGGCGGTTGCTTGGTAA